TATATTTTCAGTTTAACTGTTTGTTATTATATATAATTTATGTTAGCTGTAGGATTACGAAATAAATAAATATTAGAATTCTATTAATGATATTTATTTTATTTATTTATATATTTTTTATGATGAAACCGGTTCGTAACTTATCTATAATCTATATTTACAAATAATCCAATAAGAACAAATTTTAATAAAATTGCATATTAATACTTATGATATGATATTAATATTTATCTGTTTAATCTAATAATGCAAATTAACATTTCAGTAATATACAATTTTTGAAGATGTATCAAAAATAATCAGACTATAATTAAAAACATTGTCTAACTCGTGCCTTTATAATAAAGCTCGTAAAATAACCCTATAAAGATTTATAACTTTTTAAACTGCCCAAAATATACGAGTAATTAACAGTCATATCCGAATAAAACGATTTTTGATTAAAACAGTATAGTAATATCGATGCATAGTGATCCAATAATTTTTATCAAAAAAGTTTTAACGATGTGTGGGTTTGATTAATTGTACACTTTTATTCATAACTATAAATGAATAGCCGTAGTAAAAAACGAAGAAACATAAAAGCGAACAAAGTAACGGAGAGACCGGTTAAAGGCTCTAGTCACGCCCTCTAGATCAATGTTGTAATTTAAAAACCGAGGTTATATGCGACAGCGACCGAAAACCAAACAAGGACGCATAAATAACGATTGTTATGAAATATTATGAAAAATTGGATAAAATTTAATTATGAAAATTAGTCTAAGGATTTTATCAAAATCTTTTGTATCTGTTTTTTAAATGAGTTGCGGTAGCTCTGAGATTTAAAATTAACAAACTTAAATATGATTATCAATTTAATATTTTACAGTGAAACCGGTTTTTATTTTTAATATTTCTGCAATTCATAATATGATGTAACGTTACCTACGTTTATAGGAGGTGTAGAATATAAAATTGTAATACATTAGTTGGTTTAATAGCGACATACAAAAGGATTGCTAATTTATGACTTTTACATAAGAAAAATATATATTTCACACAACGCCCTTAGTACGAGAGTTGTACGCAGTATAGAACAAATTATTGTTCCTATTTAATAAGTGTTTCTTTGTATGGAAAAAATTACCAAGGCTCCCTAAGCATTTGGGAATATTTGCCAATCGGTTTCGTAAAGTAACCTTGACGCCTGGCTTATGGTTTAATCCCCATTCGCCGAATAAAATTCAAGTTGTTTGCATGTGGTCCACCTCGTAAATCAATCCTATCAAGAGCGGGAATTGTGTATTTTAAATGTTAGCTATTAGCTCATCGGAGAACAAAAACATTAATTGCGCTTGAGTCGCGACTTCTGATAGCTTAACAATGCATTATCGTATTAAAACGGAATTACAATAGCAAAATCAACAAAATGTATGGAAAAAACTGTGTGAACAAGTTCATATTAAAACATACTTGACGAAACTATAAAAAGCTTATGCTAGTACAGGTCTTTGACACATCGTTATTCAATCAGATTCAGATAATCTTGTCAATAGAAACGTGTCTAGAATGAAACTAAGTATATTTTTTTTTATAGAACGGGGGGCAAACGGGCAGGAGGCTCACCCGATGTTAAGTAAAGCTGAGTATTAGCACTTCATTGGATTTATAATTAAGGGCAGAGTAACGAGTCGTCTCGTGTATGTAATTGGATTAGCTAGTGCGTCTTAACTAATTAATACCGAAGTCTTCACCACGCTAATCAAGAGCCTCAAACTATAGTTGTTCGGATTAATACCTCCAGCTAAGTTTCATCATCGGACGTCGAGGCAGAATACGAAATTTCACCCGTATCACGACGTCCGCCGTTCCACAACTGAGCGTTTTTCAAGGCAGTTTTTGTCGCGCACCACCACTTTGTGGAACCAGCTGCCCACTGAAGTATTTTCGAACCAATTCGACTTAGGGTCCTTCGAGAAAAGAGCGTACCAATTCTTTTTTTTTTACCATTGGTTTATCACGACCGCGGTCAGATTTTCTTTGCATTTTTCCACTATAACCAATACACGTAAAGTAAAGTGGTGGCATATTAATATTAGGCGTGCTATTCTTATAATAATTAAGTTCTTATATAAAACACATTTAATTTATTCATGGGAATAAATTATTTTAACATTATTTTCTCACTTTTAGCAATAGATAAAAAATTGTATTAAAATTTTTATACTATTTTGTATGTGGTCTGTGTGATTTAGTTCATGCTCGACTAAAGCAAATTAATCCAGGCATTTACTGCTTTATATTATATAAAAAACATAAATGGGTGAATGTAAAGTCGTGTGCATAATTTTAGGCTAACTGAAACGTGTCAAATCGATTTATTGGTAAATGAACGCTGTCCTTTTTAATGGGCCTATTATAGTTTAAGCCATATCTGTACTAAAAGCGTTTGTTGGTTAATAGTTTGACACATGCGATCCACCTGTAATGCTATGCGACTCGGTGAATCGAAGGAATAAGTGCGTGTGCGCCGAGCAAACACGCGTTCATGTGGAACCATCGCGTTATACGATATACTGGAATCTGTTGTGGAAGGTCGACATTTTATATTTTACGTACTGCGACGATTAACTTTGTAATTAACAATTAAAAGTACTTAAACATAAACACAACATTTCCAATAAACCGGTAAAGTAGGAATCGAATAAATGTTTTGATTAGCTTGAACTTTAAGAATCCCATAAAATACTTAATATATTATTATGCATTTAACTTTTCCAATAATTCCAGTTTCTTAGTTAAAAATATATTCTGTTATTAATATTGACTTTATAAATAAAAATTAATGTAAATGTTACTTGTCGTAGTACATATAGGACAATAAGAAATCAATATGTGTTCGTTAGTGCGAGTGATCACCTACCAATCGGGGATGGAGGGACTAAGGAAAGCAGAACAGTCGCAGTGAACCATATTGAAGAATGTATAATGTATATATATCAAACATCTACCATAGATTTAGATAAAAATCAATTTACTACTAAAAACTAATAATAAGCATTTTATTTACCCTAAAATTTACATTGAATTTACGTTGAGTGTGTATGTTAAATTAGGCACAATCTTGCTTACACACAATAATTATTCTAAGTAATATCATACGGAATCTATGCTTATTAATTAGTTTCAAAGGCAATTTATCGTGCAATAATAGGTGTCGAATGCGTGGTTTTACGTAATGTGCAGGCAGAAACGTGTGTATAGTCAAGTCATTATGCTTGATTAATGAAGTTTAACGATAGCCTGTTAGTGAATAATCGTAATTAATTAATAAATGCATGAAGTATGGCCTCATAACTGTTTTTAATAGAAATATTTGACATGCACCTTGAGATAAACTTGCACGTTATAATTTAATTTATTGACCTCGATACATGATTGTATTATTAAATTAGTATTTTAAAAATACGCCTTTTAATCCACTGCGGGAGAATTGTTAATACTAATTCCATACATTAATTAATTTTTTATCGGATAGGATTTGTTTTAAATATAACCATAACCAAAGGCCATAAATTTGTCAACTTTTTAACATAATTATTGTATCGATTACGAAGTACAAAAGTAACTTAATCAAAATTCAATCTGATAATTTTTTTAATAGATAAAATAACTTAATAAATATATAAAATTGCAGTTTGGAAAACAGATACGCACAATAAATATAAGTTATTTATTTGTAATTGTGAAATATGTGACAGTGGCCACAGTGACGTCTCTAAGATAAGGAGAAATTATGAAGGAAAGTCATTCACGAACTAGGCATGTCAGTTTAAGCTACCTACCGCAACTTTCAATACAGTAATTCGTTAATCCTGAAACTGGTATATCCAAAAAACAAACACATATTCACAGTTATTAGTAGAGATTGTTAGAACCGATAACATAACACGGTCGCGATGCGTCTACGTACACGGCCGCAAGAGACTGATTGATGTACGTTGGCCGGCGGTGGGCCGCGCTCGGAGGGGCACAACCGGTAATTTGCTTAATAAAGACAGCATATCATTGATACACAAGCTAATACGTCCTTCGAAGGACGAAAGGATGTTATCAACTGTTTTCACCCATATTAATGTTTCTATAATTCGTGATTTCGCACTGATTTTTAATAACGGTAAAATGGTAAGGTCTATTAATGAGTTAGTTCATTATGCTTTACTAGTTAAAGTTAAACCCTGACTTTTCCGTTTAGAAGATAAATTCAGTACAACGTTCTAAACATTTTTCTAGTTATATTCTTTAATATTGTCTCATAATCCAAAATCATATACAATTGACAGTCGTATGTAGAGTAAAGTGGGTAAACTGTAGATTAATACTCTTTATACTCCATTATATATCCATTCAATGAGTACTAATATGTGTATATAATTTTTTTATTTACTTTATATAGTTAGCTGCTAAATTATATTCAAATTTGTTTTTTACCCAAATTTAATATTTTTACTTTAAACGTTTAATAAAATGACCGTTATCAACTTTCGATATCTCCGTTATGTTCGTTATTTCAAAAATTTTTCAACCACTAAGATACATTTTAATATTGTTGATAAACGTTGATCTTACAGAGATTAGACCATTACCAACACTTGGTCGTTAGAATGTCAGGCTACCAATACGAAAATCTATGCTTCTATTCTAGAAAATTCTTTTTAGGTATATCCGAACAGTAACGAATTGGGGCCTTCAAGACAACAGCGTACCACTACATTAAAGGTCCGTGTTGTCCTTGGAAGCCGTTGAGGGAGTTGCAGGTGTCCATGGGCACGTAAGCATTTAATACAAACGGGTCCAGGCTTCTCCTGTAATACTATGATAGACTTTTTTTTCATAGAAGGAAAACGTGCTGGAGGCTCATCTGATGTTAAGTGACACCGCCGCCCGTGGACACATTGCCAAAAGGTTCGCAAGTGCGTTGCCAGCCTTTTAAGAGTTGTAATACAAGACTAGATTACCTTAGTAAAGTTTGTAGGTGACCGAGGGCTGGTATAGATGCGGGGTCTCGGACGGGTAACGGCAACAGCTACAAGCGCATCGCACAGGGCCCGCAGACCACCGGCCGCGTCGCGCCATGCGTCCGTACTCGCGTACTCGCTTAGCGCGCTACGTACAACCTCACAGCTTACTTCTTTTGAACGGCCGGATGTTGCATCTTCATTTGTAACAACAAGATCCGTTTTTATCAAAAGGTAAAGATATATTCACCCTATATATTTACTAATATAGCTCTTCTTAAATTTATATATGTTCTATAATCTGAATCTTGTTTTACCCACGTTCTATAAAAAAAATATAACGGATGCATAGGCACTATGAGATCAAAAAAGTTTCATTTAAATATCATCTGTTGCATAAAACTTATACCAAACATTATCCATGTTACTCATTATAAATAGAAAGACAAATTTTCGAACAGTCCGACCTTTGTGGATACCTGTTACTAGAGTATGTCAGTAAAAAACCTATACACAAAGAACATAACATAAAAGAGTAACTAGGGTAATTATTTCAGTAATTATTTTGTTATTTTCTAGCTCAGCTAAACGTTTAAATAATATAGCAACACACGTAACGGCCTTGATTCGAGCAGTGCTCTAAATCAAGGCATATAATGAGGTCTCGTTTACAAACTTAAATATACGAGTAAACTCAGCCGCCATGAGCCATTTAATGCGACTTTACTTATCTTATGCGCATTAGTCACATTTAATTGGATCAATAATACTACTTCATTAAAAAACGAAAACTCAAAAAGTGATGAAAGTGACGTTTTAAAGCTGTTTTCTATGGAAATTATGATACTATAAATTAAAATAAATTTAAATGTTACGAAATTATAATACGAAGAACAATAAAAATAAAGTCAAATTATGATGCAAATTTATTACAGAATGCGTCACAACGAGGGCAAAAAACGCCTACGATCGGCCAAAGAGACTAGAAATTTCACAAAATAGCTTTATACAATTTATCCTTATCCGTTTTCGTGCATTGTAATTTAAACTTTCAAAAGCACTTTCTTTATTTTAAATATTTTATTTCTTCTTTCCTGAAATGTGAATACCAAGTACGGCTTTCGGATTGATTTAAATAATTATTAGTTATACATACCAGTGAGTGCAAATTGAACAGTGAGCACTGCTTCCAAGATCTTGACGAGTAGGCGAAGGGCAGCGGGGCTGGGGACGGTAGATAGCGGAGAAGGGCGGCATAGCGCATGCAGCACTAGCCGCAGCAGAGCATAGCTCTCGGCCAGAGCATTCTCACGTGCTGTGTACGCGGCGAACTCGCGGCTGTGCACGCATAGGCCTGCGCACGACCTCCAGAACGTGCATGCTGTCTTGAGAACTTCTAAGCATTCCTGTTCCTCATTCTCACCCTCCTTTACCGGGGATTTTATTGTGATGGGCTCAGAAAATTTTCTCCCTTCACGCAGTCCTAGCCCTAAAGACTCCTTTATCTCACTTATTTCCCGTAATACCTCGGACTTTTCTAAAGGTATCCAAGACTTAAACACTCCGAAGCATTTATCTGTAACTTCAGAGAGAGATTTAAACAGCATCTGCACGGATGCCAAAGAACTCATTTCACGGAAGTAAGTCAACTCGGCGTTCTCTTTCATCAACTTGTATATTTCGACAATGATAGCTATTTCCAAAATGGCACAGCACTGGCTAGAAAATTCTGGAAGCGATATCAACTCAAGAACGTAACTTAATCCACCCTTTTGTATAAACTGCTCGGCAAAGGAGACAGTATTTAATAGACTAGCAAAAATATTAAGGCTTGAAACTGTTAAAAAGTAGGCGGATTCGTCTAACCGGATTGTGTATCTATGCTTGGAGACGATAAATGTGGGATAAATGACACTAAAAAGCAATTCATATTTCATTTCCATTCGGCATTTCGGTGTAACTTTCAGGAGGTGAGTGACAGTTGCATGAAGCACACTATTGTGGTTGTCTAGCTGCAGTAGAGAGTTATAATGGATAAGAAAAGACCAGACACTCTTTCTTTCCATTGGGCTTACGCCGTGAGCGCAATATTTACGGCCAAGATCTTTATTATCATCACATTGTTCACAAATCGAGCACGGCAGCTGATCTGTAACTTTTGGTACTAGGACACTCGCACCTAAATCACCATACACCGTGTGTTCAAGTAATCTAAGACACAAAGTAGCGACACTATTATGGGTCAGCATAAGTCTAACAATGCTCTCCATGAGAAAACTCGGCGAAAAACAACAACACACCCCGCACTTAAGCATGACATGGAGGATTTTGTTTCTGAGGACCTTGTGAGCGGAAATTTCTTCGTCTGGCACAAGCGAGGTGAGCGTGGCGTATAACACAGACACACAGCAGGCAGTGGGCATGGGCAGGCCGGCGCCTGCCTCGCCAAGAATATCGTGATGGTGATGCATACCAGCGGTCACTCGCTGTCGGCACGGCTTATGTCGTGACCGTGGACATGCCGCTGAGTGTATCACTTCACTCCGTACTCTCTTCATTCCGCTCACTAACTTGCCTATTGATTCTATTAGTTTCTTAATTAATGTCACAGCCTCGTCACTGTCGCTGCTCGGTACTCGTATCATCAGCTCTATGCACTCTTTAAGCAATCCTCCTTTAAAGCATTCTCCGTATAGCCTAAATTGATCAGTAAATTCTCTGAGCTTCTCCACAGTTCGGCATTGCATGAGCAAACAGTAAAAGAATGCCGTGACGGAATACGCGATTCCAAATACAAATTTTAGAAGGTTACTTGTTTCTATTAAATTTGGATTTTCTACGTTTTTGGCACGATTTTGTCTGTCTGTTTTCGTATTATATTTGGCACAGGATTTACAGACGACGTCTTCTAGGATTCGTAAAAGCATAGGTAATATTCCAACGTTTATTAATTTGGCACAGAGATCTGCATGTATCAGCACCTGGTCTAGTGAAACGATCAAAAGTTCAGTTAATGCTACCTTGATGCTCGACAACTCGAGGGGATCATACGCACTGGACTGCGCCGCTATTGACCCAAATTGAAGGGAGCACAGGTTTTTTAATGAAAAATTTATGCATTGCATCGATATTTGCGAGCCTTCAGATCCAGTGAGACTGCTCTCTGCCCTGCATAACTCTTGTAACAAATCTATTATAATCAAGGTAAATTCGAAAGTGCTAATTTCAGAATTAATAATTTCCTTATGTTTGTCTTTCATAAAATCATCAGCTTTAGGTTTAGCCTTTCGCGGGGTGAAGTAGGGGTCGGAATAGAGTGTGTCATTTAAGTCGGATGACCGCGGCGGAGTGGGACAATAGTCAAGGTCATCGTAGGGCGCGCACGCCTTAATACCCAGCGAGCGATTGAGAGCTTGTAGGTCATCGCCCCCGTCCCCAGATTCCGATGACGCTTCTGACTTCTTTGCTATCTTCTTTTTAGGATTGGATATCGATTTAGAATCAGAATCTAATCTCATCAAGCCATTGTACCTTGACCTGTGAATAATAAATCGGATTAAGTTATATTGCGCAGCGCGATAAAATGCTAACACTATTATAAAAACTTCATTTACCTCATCGCAATAGAGCCCTTACCCGGCGAGGCTGATGTTTGATTTCCGTTGGCCTTTTGTTTAGACCATATCCTGTATAGAAATAATGATTTACATACTTATATTTTATATTATTAAAATCTAAAGTTTTGATTTAAGATGACGTAAAATGTGATCTATTTTTTTTTTATAAAACAAATGTCTAGCAGGTCAAACGGGTTATTTAAAAACTAACTTAGATCGTTTAGATGATTAATATTCATATATTAGCTCAATTAAATTAAAAAAACATAAAAATTCTTACTTTTTTCTTTCTCCAACCCTTATATGGTAAGCAAATCAAATAAATCGGTCAGATAAGCGAGCGTTCAAGTATTACGTCACGCAATTTTTGGAGATTCAGACCCCCCTGCCTCTGTGTAACGCGCCGTAACTTTTTTCTGTACCCAAGTACAGTACTGTAACCAAGTACAGTTAAACGTTTCGTGACCACCTAGTGACTCTTTATAACCTAAAAGTTACCCTTAATTACTGGAAAGTAGAAAATAATATTAACAACAACGCGTAATTCAATCCCCGCCCCGCATCGTAACGTTTTACAAAAGGACCCCCCCAAAATTCGTTACGTAATACTTGAACGCTCCCTTACTTTAAAAATGTAAATTAAAATAACTTTGCTCAACATCTAGAAAATACTACTGATGAAAAATATATAGTTAATTGCACAGAAGAACAGACAGAAGTCCTTTAGTTATCTAGCCCATATGGAGTTGATATACCTATTGGAGAAGAGCTGGTGTATAGGCGCAGTGGGAGGCCTTGTTATATTCTGATGAGTTGAGGCCGCGTGACCGGCTGCGCTTAGCTCCCCAAACAACCAGATCAACACGGAGCTCAATTGACGGCAACATGACAGACCCTAAAAAATGTTATGCTCTTTAAAGTGTTGTCAGAGGTCCTTCTAGGCCAAGGGCGGATCCAGAGGTGGTCATGGGGGTCATAACATCACATTATTAAAAAAATTTATATATATTGATCAAATGTCACTAATAACATCATCACTAATAATATAATGTTCACTAATACACTATAAAGACACAAACAAACGGGAACGCTAGATCCGCCTTTGCTCTAGGTATTGAGAATTGCCGAGGTGCAATCACTTCCTTAGTCTACGCAATACATAATAATTATTATTAGACTAATTAAATATCAGTTAATATTACTATACGCTATTGACCAAACAGTTAAATGTCATAGTGCCATATGTGTGATTTGAGAGAATAGACCATTCATTAATTCACTAATTTGAACCCACATACTCACTCATGCAGGCGTGTTGAAAACAATTGAAAAAACAAAAATAATCAAAAGATGTAATCTAATCTAATTTATAAAATTCTCGTGTCACAATGTTCGTTCCCATACTCCTCCGAAACGGCTCGACCGATTCTTATGAATTTTTATATGCATATTCAGTACGTCAGAGAAAAAATAAAAAACTTTTATTTTTTATTTTCTATGATACAGCATACAAAAATACATACAACTCCTAATTTTCACCTCTCTACGATTAACCCCTATTTTTTGTTATTGTAGATAGCTATTTTCATTGCACTAAAAAAAGTGTTTCCTAGAAATAATATACATGGTCTAACGACGTTTGCCGGGTCAGCTAGTTAAATTATATTTATGTTTATGGAATTTACTATTAAGTTTGTTATGGAGCTGGGAACCCTGACACAGGTACTTTTTTCCTTGAAAGGGTTTCCAAATCTTACACATTATATTGAACTGTTGTCAAATGAATAAACACATTTATATTTTCATTTTATTTTTTATTCCGGTCGCCAACAACCAGAGGCAGATATTTACAAATTTAATTCATTAATATTACACACCGATTATAAATCTAACCCGATACCCCAATCACCACGGATCCTTTATGAAAAGGATTAGCCACTTAGCTCGGGCACTTTTAGAAAAATAGTACAAATCCTGATCTATGAATAAATATATATTATATTTATTTATTTACTAACTGCTGTTCACCTGATTCCGTTGGCTTGGAAATATCGAAACACAAATAATTATCTTTAATCAATTTTCTATGTTTTACATAGATATTCATGTAGAATAAACATATGTTTGTACTCACTGAGTGCGTCAGCTAAACAACATTGTTGCATGTGTGTGTGCATGTTATTTAATAACTGTGTTGCTAAGGAGCATTGATTTAAATTAATGAATAAATGCAAAAGAATATGACTAATTTAGTTGTAAATAACGAAGCGTTTTCTAAGGCAGTTTTTGGCTTTGTGGAACCAGCTGCCCACTGAAGTATTTCCAAACCAATTCGACTTAGGGTCCGTCAATAAAAGATAATTCTTGAAAGGCCGGCAACGCACTTGCGAGCCTTCTGGCAATGTGAGTGTCCATGGACGGCGGCAGCATCAGGTGAGCCTCCTGCCCGTTTGCCTCCTATTACATAAAAAAATGAATATTTAATGTTACATATGCAGTTCCATTAATAAGGTAAATTTAAGTTGCATTTATTTCTATGCAAAGCGTATACATAGAAATAAATGTTTTACAGCAGAATTCCTGGTAAAAGTGTTTTTTAAAGTACCGTGTCATTATTGCAAATTCATACAAAACAGGTTTGATACTAAATATAGCTAGATAGCTATGCAGCGGACATTAATATTATTATTTATTTTTATTTAGACCACAAAGTTAGGACAGACAAACAAATTGACGTATATACAAAAATATGAAAAGCGATGCCGTCCCTATAAAATGCGGACACGACCATTATTAATTTTCTTTTTATGTTAACCTATTTCACAATCAATATTAACAGATACAAAAAGCATGTTCTTATTTCATAAATAATTGTCTTAATAGACACTGCGGTTTAGTTATCTGGTTCCGGTTCCGGTATGAAATTTCTATTTATCACCTACATGATTAGATACTTAAGTGAAATGATTATTTGAATATATTCTATGTCTAACTATGCTATGTTTGAGCATTTTTTTTTATGTAATAGAAGGCAAACGGGCAGGAGGCTCACCTGATGTTAAGTGATACCGCCGCCCAGGGACACTTACAATGCCAGAAGGCTCGCAAGTGCGTTGCCGGCCTTTCAAGAATTGGTATGCTCTTTTCTTGAAGGACTCTAAGTCGAATTGGTTCAGAAATACTTCTGTGAGCAGCTGCTTCCACATAGTGGTGGTGCGCGGCAAAAACTACGTCGACGTCGAGGTGATACGGACTATGCGTATGGTATAAAGGATCGGCGAAACAATTAATTTTTTATATTTTTTTATACTCAAAATATTGAATATTTGGCATTAATTATTTTATACATTTAGGGCTTTATAGGTTTGAGAATTAGCTGTGTAGATACATAGGTACAATACGGCCATAACGCAGGTTATCGCAGGTCGCGGGTCTCAATGTTTTACAACTTGTATAATGTAGAGAGATAGCACTGCACCCGTTAACTAGATTGTCATTTGAGATTCAGTCCCTCAATATTTGTATTTTAATTCATCGAAGGTGTAAATCGCCTTTCTGCCCGTATTTATCAAGCACTGAAATTCATTAAGCCATATAGCTAGAGTGTCACCGATGATACGTTTTTTTATGCATAAATAGTAACCATGGTAACGTAATCTCTAGTTCATGTTTAATAAGAAGTTTAAATAAGTTTAACCCGTAGATCCGGTTTGGATGATCACTTATCAGAGTTTTAGTAAGTTTAAGTATAATAGACGCAAAAGTGTGAAATAACCACATGAAAATTCTTCTTTTATTATATTATAATTCTTAAGACCAACATTTTGCTTAATTTTGTCAAACAAAAAAAAAATATATATATTTTAAAAGTTATGTGATCTCACTACTCTATGGTATATAATATTAATGAATCAAAAAAAATGTTAACACAAAAGAAAATGCCGGTAAGTTTAGCGTTCTTACGAATAATATATAATTTAATACTCGCGACGCTTATAAAACTAAGAAATACAAATATATAACCTTGACTTGTACTCATTTGATACTACTACACGTTAACTATGCGTTTTTTGATTCCCTTATCATTACGGTAAGGTTCTTAACCCAAGAAACAATCATTGAAGCAATCGTTTCTTCAATCATCAATTGTAAAAATTCTAATTTATTGTCACAACTTTGCTACGAGAACACTCGTAAATTTTAAACACGCTTTTTTATAAATATCTTTTTCTTATAATTACTTGATGTATTTTGAAAGCATTTAAGTAGGCATTGAATTAAAGTAGATTTATTATAGAATTAAGTAAGAAGTGCGACATATTCTTTTCTTACTACAAATTGTCTAACGTTTAAATTTCAAGTTGTAAAAAACATAATTCTATGATATTTTTAAGAGGAAAATTTGTATCGTTGTAACGTATTAACACAAGACCTTTAGGCTGATTTTTAAAATTAAAATTCTAATGAAAGGTGAAGCCAGGGAGGCTTTTGTTATATCCTATTTAATTGTAAACTACGCTATGACTATTATCATACATTCTTATCCACTTACTAAATGCTCTAAGGTTTTTTTATATGATTGGACAATTCACACCAATTGACCTAGTCCCATGCTAAGCTGGTGAAACTTGTGTTATGGGTACTAGGCAACGGATATACATACATATTATAGATAGATAGACATATAAATACATATTTTAAACACCTAAGCACAACACTAAATGCTCATCACATCGATGTTTGTCTCAGCCGGGGATCGAACCCGGGAGGACCCATGGATTCGCAGTCAGGGGTACTAACCACTAGACCAATGAGCCGTCTAGTAGTAGTAGTTTTATTTAGTGTTTTGTTTTTGTAAACTATATTTCTTTTTAGTTAACTGTATTTATGAATTAGTTTTTGAAGTTAAACTTCTTTTGGCCCGTGAGGGAAAAATTATAACAGTACTTACATTTTTACGATGCGCGCGCACACTGTCCAAAGAAACCGACACCCTGAAGTTAGCTATAGTCAACATTATAGTTTTTGAAGTTATACTTCTATTAGCGCGTTAGGGAAAAATGATAAGAGTACATTTTTACCATGCGCGCGCACACTGTCCCAAGAAACCGACACCCTGAAGTTAGCTATAGTTTTTTCACCAAACGTAGAATAAAATTTTTGTAAAGATTTTTATCTTGTTACGCCAAAGAAGTATAACTTCTAACGCGTGTACATAGTACACACACGTTTTCTCAATTTATTTATTTCTATTTACAGTAAACATATATGTTCTGTAACGCTGTATGGGTTAATATCGATAATAAGTAAATGAGCTATATAATTTGTACCTCGACTCCCAAAGCCTTAAGCACGAGTAGACAGCGCCAAGCAAGCCCCGTGAGCAGGTACTGACGAAGGATCTCCGCAGAACTCAGTGTATTGGTGCGCGTAAACAGACTTGAGGACTTCAGCGCCGCCGCCGTTTCTAGAAAATTAAAAAATGTATTTATTATATATTATATTGTTTGCTCTAATGTAAATACTAAATAATAAATCTAAATATAACTAAATTAATAATTTTGTTTCGTTTAATTCTCGACGACATAAATAAATGTTTAATCGACGGCTCATTGGTCTAGTGGTTAGTACCCCTGACTGCGAATCCATGGGTCCCGGGTTCGAACCCCGGCTGAGACAAACATCGATGTGATGAGCATTTGGTGTTGTACTTAGGTCCTGGGTGTTTAAATATGTATTTATATGTGTATCTATCTATAATATGTATGTAAATCTGTTGCCTAGTACCCATAACACAAGCTTCACCAGCTTAGCATGGGACTAGGTCAATTGGTGTGAATTGTACAAAAAAAAAAAGTTTTAATATTGACCCTTTGCGTGCCAGTCTGTACAAAGTCTGAGTATTCCATCGAAAACTATATAATACAGTTTTTGTATATTTAAGTAGATACAGTTTTGATGAGATAACAATACTTGCCTGTAGTAATTAATTGGCACTTTCACTCCTTTCGAAGGAGATTCGAGAACAGTATAGTATTAGTAACATAATTAGATAATTTAAGGTCTAAGTAATAATAAAGAATGAGGTCTCAGGTTCGAACCTTGGTAGAAAAAATACCTTTCGATTTTTATAAAGAAAAAGTAAAATTCAATGGAATCCCTGAGCAAGAAAAGCTCAACTAGCAATATGGGTCCATGGCGGCGTGATTAGCCGTGGACAAATATATGTTTATTTTTAATACCTGATGACTCTATTTGTGTGTCAGGTAATACGGGTGTGACGCCAGAAGCGAGCGTAACATCTAGCGTGGCGGGTAGCGGTAGCGTGTATTGCGTGTTGATTGATGAAGTGACTCGGTGGATGCCGCAAAGTAACTCGCAACCTACCAGAGACACCACACCACTTACAGGGCTGTAAAAGAGAATAGAATATGTGGCGAAGTATGAAAAAATAATGATTTATTGTTTCATTATTTTTTCGCAAAAAAAACGTACCAAAATTTTATTAATTCCTTTGGATTGCAGCCCTCGTCGAGACGCACAATGAACTCTGCTAAAAATAAGTCCAGCCATGTTGATTTCTGAAAAGACAAAATTACTTCAGACATATTCGAGACCAACATTTTTATACATTTTTTTTTTAGAAATGGATAAGTTTATATTATAACTAGCAGACCGGCCAAGCGTTGTTGTGACTAAGGTTTTAGTTATATTACATAGTAGTAACCTATTCAAGGGAAACGGTAGGAGAACACCAGTCATGGGAACCACCATGCATTTTTGGTGGTAATTCCACTAAATTGTAGCTTATTTGAAACGTTGGTACTTTTAACACAGCGCCATCGTTTAGAATTGTGACTATCAAATAATAAAAAAATATTTTGCAATAAAATAATATTTCGGGTATAAATTGAGATGTAGGCTATCCTATCTTTTAAGTTAGATCAAACCGCACACGGTGTGCAAATTTGATTGAAATCGGTTCGGTAGTTTAGGAGTCTATAGCGGACAAACAAGGTGACACGTAATTTATATATATTAAGATTATACCTCATAAGTGCCTGTTTCTGCTTTGAAGAAGTGTTCCCAGTATACTTTGAGCGCGTTAGCTCCCTCCTCAGAGGCCATACTCCGTAACCGCCAACCTACAAGTTTGCAATGCTAAGGGTCAGCAATTGAGTATTTTCTTCAAATAAGTTCCTACGGTAGTATCGCTTATATAAGGAAGCATTGCCAAAAAGTAACATATACAATATAAACACGTAATTTAAAGTAACAGTTTCGCAACAAAGCATGCCGCAAATACGCTATTTTAAACTAGCTAATCAAAAACAGTCCTTATTAAATTATTACTAATATTTTGGAAGAAGTACCAAATAATAAAGTGTGAATACAAAATGATTTGCACCACAATAAGAGAAAATTGCTTCACCGGCGTCTATTGTTATAAGCGCACAGTGAAATCATTAGTGAAAGGTAAATGTAACTGTATATTGAGTATTTTACTTACAAAAGTAAATAAAATGATTTTTATATAATCTCATAATAAAAAATTTATTTTATATAAGTTTTTTATATAACTTACTTTCACATTGGCATTAACAAGTCACACTACTAATAACTATTAAACACTTGTTGGTCAAGAAATATTTATTTTTTCAAAATTATTCTGATAAACAACTATGTCTCAGTAACTTTCAATGTATTTATGAACACACTGTTGTCACATCACTTGTGAACTGACTTAAAGAAACCTTATCTATGTGTTCTTTAAATATTACACAACTTGTCCCGCAACTCTGGTTGTTAATTTAATTTCTTTGCTTTAATCTTGCTATGATAAGATTTAATAAATCCAAATGAGAAAAAGTTATACAACAATTATTATACAATTATTTAAACTTTCATAAAAAAAGGTACACTCAAGTTTGAGGTTTATAATGATTTATACAGCATTTATAAACAAACCAACAGTATGCTGGGAATATTATAATTAATACAATGAAGTGATATCAGTGAGTGGGCAGCAAGTATGTGTTTGTATGTACTATTAAATGTTATCTGCTGACCGCGAGATATCATATCCACTTTCATTGTGAATTGTCATTAATTGAATATTATATTCTTAAAAGCTAGCTTACAGTTATGTTTTATAAAAATGCATACTGTACAATATGCTAAGTAAAAGAGGTTTTTTTATTGCATTTTCTTTTAAATTACAATAACATTAACATACATATTAAAGAAATCAAATTTTCAACATACAAAATTGTTAATAAATTAAATATAATATTGTATGACAGAAGAACTTGTAGTAAGTATAAACTTTTTCAAAATATAAATTTTAGTAGTAGAGTAAAATATTGTCTCTATTTCAATTATTTATATTTTATAAACATCAATATTTGCCTTACAGAGGTTGTGTGCAATTGAAAGTTATGTTTATTCTAGTCTTTAATATAATTAGAATTATTACAACCTATAATTTTAATTATGAGCAAGACTTCTATTAAAAGGACGGGATAAATAATAAATTTTAAAAGAATATAAACCTTCAGAAAAGCCAAATTAATTATTATATTTTCCCTTAAATATTAATTATTTTAAATAACAATATACAATAGTACAATGTATTAGTTAATAGTACAATGTGTAAAATTTTGATTATAAAAATGTCTTTAAGAAGATGTTAATAAAACAGGAAAGAGAAGCTGGTAATGTTATTATTTTCTACGCTAACTAGGTAATTTCTAAGTTTTTTCGAAAGTAAACTACTTACAAGTTAAAATAATATGCACATAAAATCTTGAATACTTAGTACACTGAAATACATACTATTAATAATTACTAAATTAATATTAATATTACAAATTCCTTATTTTGTTGGAAGAAGAATTAAAAATTTAATATACGTAAATAAACAAGTAACAACCTTTCGAACTTTGAAGTTTGAAATAACATATTTTATGATTTCGACATTTGATATAATCTGTTTTTCTGAGTTTATACTATAATTTGAGTCATAGAATAATAATAGTCTGTCGAGTTTTTACTTTTTTCACCTTGATCTCCACAGAGTGGAAAAATGTCAAGTCAAAAAAAATTTTTATCGCTTTTTCTCCCGCTCTTAATACTCAATAATTAGTAAATTACTGTTTCCACCGTCAATCGACGACCAGTCACTTTAAGAGCGGTTTTATTCCTTGGCTATTTGGATTAATACCAGCAGCTGAGTTTCATAATCAGTCGTTGAGGAAAGAATACGAAATTCCACCCGTATCACCTCGTCTAGGAGCATGTTAATCTCCCCTTTTTAAATCTATTTTACCAACAACCTACTAATAGAACAATAAACCGAAAAGGACGATAGGTACACGATGTTTTTACCGTTTTTTAACCGACTTCAGAAAAACCGAAGGATATTATTAATTTGACGTGTAATTCAAAAAAATGCCATCGAACTTTAGTGTCATATGGTTCCATCTATAGGTACTTTTGTCATCTTATCTTCCATTATATAGTAACATTTTTCTGTACTTCAGTACCATACCATCACAGATTAGTTAGAAATATGTACTGTCTGTGCCGTAAATGATACTATATATATTCTGTGTTAAGTATACTCTTTGGTCTCTCATCTGGATGGATCTTTCATCTTATAACTTATTACTTTTAAAGACTTGCAACTGCTTGTTAGTGTACTCTAAGATTAAAATTAAAACTTTATTCTTTTTATTTTATATTTACGAATTTTTGATGGCGAATTTAGTGTAGTCTATTTACCTTTTTGTCTAAACCACCAAGGCCTAATTCAAGGAAAGTGTATGAAGTAATTAGTATTCTGCAGGGGCTTGTAAGCCATAAATTACTGTATGAATAAAATGAATTTAATAATGTGGGAAAATATAATTGAATACCTTAAGGATCCCCTTCTTGTTGTTAAAGTACAGAATTTTTTTGGTATTGTGTATAAAAAAATAAACAACAAAGATGAAACCAGTGTAATACATTCTGATAGACTTGAAAAATATGAAGAATTTGATATTAAACAACATAAAAGAATTCCAAGTGATAATTCTGGCAGTTCCATAACCTCAAGTGATACAGAGACATCTGAAGAGAGTGGCCCTGATGAGTTGGACCTTATGATAGGCAATAAGTTTTGGTATTACTTGTTTGTAATAGGAACAGCTCTTGGAGATGAGATATTTTATGCAACATTCATACCATTCTGGTTTTGGAATGTAGATGGAGCAGTAGGACGGAGAGTAGTACTTGTTTGGACAGTTGTAATGTACATAGGTTAGTATTAATTAATGGTTAAGTCAATTTCTAAATTCTTATCAATATTGATGTTATGTAATATTGATAAGAAATAAAAAAGATTTTTTTTTTTACTGTTAAATATAAAATGTTCTTTTATTGTAGGCAAATAATGAATAACTTAAATTAAATTAATTTAAGATTTAATTTAAATTTTTATGTATAATTTTGGTTATATTTCATGGGAAGTAAAGGATTAAGATAATTAAGTATAACAGAATACTGTCTTATAGTTTTGAGATTTACTCACTCATTCTGAGACTCATCTCAAATTATGTTCTCTAGTTCACTGTGTTCTTATTTGTGAGAATTTTCACAAAAATAATGTGATTTTAAATCTATCTTAACACTTAGTTTATAAAACTATTTTATAGGATTATTTGTTATTTTATAATGAGTAATTATCAGTTTCATTTTCAAATTCCAGGTCAAGGTTTTAAAGATATAATCCGCTGGCCAAGACCTGGATACCCAGTCAAGAAATTACAAGATAAATGGGCAATAGAGTATGGTATGCCATCAACCCATGCAATGGTGGGCGTTTCGATTCCTTTCTCTGTTCTCTTTTATACTATGGATAGATATCAGTATCCAATGCATTGGGGTCTCATTATAGCCATTTCATGGTGCACCTTAATATGTGTTAGTAGAGTTTATTTGGGAATGCACAGTGTTTTGGTAAGTACATTAAGTATTGTCATGCTACTAAATTGGCTATATTCTGATTGAAAAAAGTTTGCAGTTTGTTAAAAATCTCAGTGTGAATTGAAGTTCTACTTTGGTATACATCAATAGAACTTAATTTAGTAAATTTTTTTTCAACAAAATTGGTTATAACAGGATAATAAAACAGTTCTTTAGTTTTTCTCCTTAATAAGTAAATCCAATTTTAAAATAATGAAATTCTTAATATAGGTACTCGTTTACAATTACACAACTAACATTTTTTTTCTATATCTGTATTTCTCTAATGATTTGATATAATGTTTTAGGACATTGCAGCGGGTCTTGTGCTGGCATCTACACTGCTGTTGGTACTTGTTCCTCTTGTAGATTATCTGGATGCGTTGTTATTGACCAGCCACTCAGCACCCTTGGTGGTGTTTGCTGTTTCTATCCTTGTCATTGTCTACCACCCACAATCTGACAAGTGGACACCTACACGGTAAGTGATTTGGGAAATTTACAAATTACCAAATGTTAAATAATAAAAAGAATAATAATATATTATATTTACATATATATAATGTTAAAATGTTTAATTTAAAGTGAAATAATAATATGCACATTTATAAGTAATTAATTTGAACTACATCAATTAATTAAGTATTTAATTATTTACAAGCAAATAAATTTTTCAATAGAGTTGGCAGACCCCATTGACAAGTTTTATCTATTTAGACATATTTGTTAATGTTATCTTAATTTCATACTTTGAGATAACTAGTCTCTGATATTGCTATATAATAAATACATTAATGTAAATTGAAAATTTTCAGAGGTGATACAACAATGATAGTGAGTGTATGCGCAGGAATCCTAATTGGTTCTTGGATTAACTACCAGTTAGGAAATATGTCTCCACCACAGGCTACACCACCCTACCGCATTATCTGGCCCTCCGTTGAGATGTTTGGATGCCTCCTTCTCAGAACCACACTTGGCTTCTGCGGGGTCTTAGCCACCCGGGCAATCGCTAAATCCTTTTCTTACGCCGTCATATGTGCTCTACTCGGTAGAGACAAGAATGAACTCCGAAACTCTGAAGATAGCTTAGACAATAAACACAAGATCTTTGTTGAATGTTGCTATAAGTACTTCACATGTGGTCTTATTGGCCTTAACACAACCTATGTGTTTCCAAATGTTTTTGACCTATTGCAAATAAATAGACCCACATACTACACTGAAATTTGACAGTGGTATGCTACTCATTAAGGCAGCAATTATTAAAATATTACTCATCTGTAAAGTACCTGGCCATGGTACCTAGTCAACACCATTTAACCTACCCGTTTATATATAAGGCAATAAGTATTAAAATCCCATTAATGATTAAAGAAAAAAAAAATAATGCACATGTTAATAAATACTAAATACATGTTAATAACTGTTATACACTTTTCTATATATTATGTTATTCTAGCACTATGTACCTGTTTAAGTTTAGTAAGATACTATATAATTATTATTAAATGGAACACAAGTGAAATATGATATGTGCACAAGCCAAATATTATTATTGATTTAATTGGTACATTCTAGATTATATTCCTCGTAAAAAAAGTTGCATTCCATTTTATTACTGTTGAACATGAGGCTGTTTAGTAGTGGAAAAACCAGGAAATACTAAATAATATACCATTGCTACATACCATTTGGTAACGTTTAATACACACAAAGTTCAGCTTTTATTAAATCCTGTTATAAAGTGCCTTGCAATAAATGCGGCTTTATATAACTAATAGCGATGATTTTTGATCCATTTGTATATTGAAAATTACATAGTACATACTACCGTTAGCTTAAAACATTTTTAAAACGGTGTTGTTTTATGAATATAATTACAAAAACCGTTACAACTTGACTTGGCTGAGTACTCTCCTCGATTCCGGCTACCTTAATCTCATTTAGTCCCGACTACCATTATTTGTTTGAATATATCAAATACCTATCCTAATAGTTAAGGAAATATTTTTGTATGTAAAACTTAAGATGCGTTCTGTGGGCGTTTTAAACTTAAACGGAATGAACGTGCATGATGAGAATAAAATACGTTAACAACTATCGTGTGACGTAAATAAATACTTGAAACTATCGTTAAGTTATAGTGAGATTTTCCAATTATACAAAAAATTAAAGATATTCCGTTATAATAAATCGAACATATATGGTTGTATATTAATTCTAAGTATTTGTTACAATATTAAAGTATATTTTTAATTATACAATTGTTTTTTTTAAGTAAGTCATTTGTGATATTTATCCTTTAAGAAATAATCTTAGGTACTCAAGACGTTTTATGGATGGCGTAATCACCTTTAGCTTTAGTTATCTTGTTATAACCTACTTTATCAAAATAATAATGGCTTTGTAAGTAAACATATTTTTATTTCCAACCTTGTTCAAAGTAATCTGTAGCCAGTGAAGTACCTAGATGCTACTACAAAAACACAATAATAAATCTTAAATATTATTATTACTCAACTATACGCGCAGAAATAGCCCCTCTTACGGAACTAACTATTCGTTATGATGAAGTTTAACGCCCAGATTTTAAATAAAGATTGCTAAAACAATGCCTCGTTATATGATAAAGTTTAAATATTAATGACGCCAATGAGAGTCAAAGGTGACGATAATGATAACGATAATAATAGGCACTTAGCGTTATTAGTTAATGTAAGTTTAAAATTTAATATTTATCGAGTTAGGAGATGAAGAAGTGAAAAATCTAATATATAAAATTCTCGTGTCGCGGTGTTTGTAGTTAAACACCTCCGAAACGGCTTGACCGATTCTCATGAAATTTTGTGTGCATATTGGGTATGTCTGAGAATCGGACAACATCTATTTTTCATCCCCCAAAATTTTAAGGGTAGTCCACCCATAAATATTTTTTTTTAATTTTTTAGATTAATTTTCTATGATACAACATTAAAAAATACATACAACCCCTAATTTTCACCCCTCTACGATCAACCCCTATTTTTTATTATAAATGATACATGGCAAACGACGTTTGCCGGATCAGCTAGTGACATATATAAATGTATCGACATGGCCTTGAGCTTTATGAAACAGTCTTGTGGGCCTACCAAGGTAGGTAGTACTCAACCCAGTGGTGCTATTGACTTTTAATCCTACGCAAAAGAACAAGAAGAACTCTACATGCATTTTACCTAAAATCTTTAAAAAACTATTACCACGACACAGATACTGATATCTAAGGCTGAGAAGGTTATAACGCTGGTTTTCTTCATCAATATTTAGTGTTAGGCATCTATAATAAAAATATCAGTTTGTAGTGGGGGAAAAATAGTAGAAACTCCATTATTTTTACTTAGCTAGTTTAGTTAGGTAATAAGAACAAATTGTATAATATTAAACATCATATATTCAACTTATTTCATATAATAGTAGTTATATACTAATTATAATACATACAATAATAACATTTAAATAACGGCGTCTGAAAGAAACTTAATCAAATCATATAATAAATAAGATTTTACAAAAATGTTTTTGTTACATAGACAAAGTCAACAAGATATCTATGATTCCAAAACGAAGGAACTAGGTACAGGCACATGGAGATTTCTAGATAAAAAATAGAGCATTAAATGTTATCCAAACTAGCGAACTGAAAATCCCGAAACGCAAATAGATACTTATAGCCAGGTAATTTTTTGTATAGAACTAAAAAATGTAAGTGCGTCCGCTTTCGAACTAAGTTCGTTTAATTAATTAATGACAATTTAGGAGTTATGCCAACTATCATTATTTTACTTATCATAACTATCGGATTTTTTACAGGTCTAATGACATTACAATAGACAATAGATTTTACAATGCAAGTTGTCAATTAGTTTTAGCGCTTTCATCATAGAATTATTACAACCATTATCTCGATCTCATTGATAATAAACGGAAAATTATAGGATTCCAGATAACAACTTTCAACTGCGGCATCGCAACAGAACTGATCAATAATCAAAATTCGACTTATATTAGGTGCAATATATATCAATCTATCTTGGCAACATGATATTTACAATACAAAATATGTTTTTTTTTAGTAAAACACGTTTATATCGGAATTTTAACTTACTAAATTTATAAAACTATTAAAAAACAATAGTTGCAAAAAGTAAACAAGTTTAAAATCCATAAGTAACTCTTTAACAAGAGGGACTCTTTATATCGGACATAAGATTAATACTCCATCACTGCTTTCATTAAAAGTCTGTTCGGAGCCTAATCTTAAATAATGAGTAATCCTTATTTTCCGCAAATAACAATGTTACACCCGAAACCCCAAGGAAATTCCATAAATATGAATAATATATTACATCATTCAAAACAACATAGTATCTTCAAGCATTTTCCTTTAACTGTAAATAAAGGTCATCACAATCATATTCATTTTAAATAAAACACAAAATAAAACAGTAAATAAGTAATATAGATATTTAATAATCGTTATATTAGATAAAGGAAGACCACACGACCTCATAATGGCATTGGACAAAAGACTGTAGATTACTCGTATAAAAGTCATTTGTCAAACATTAATTTTTAATTTTGTTTTTGAACTTATACTTCTTTAGGCGCGTTATGAAAAATTGATGAGAGTGAAATTTTACGACGCGCGCGCACCGTGACACAAAATTAATAGAAGTGGCCCACGGAAGATGCTACGGCATTGGACATAATTTAAAAACAACATTCGAATAATAATAGAATTTATGTTACACTTAATGTAAGACAATAATAATAAAGATTTATTTCTTTAATTTTTCAAATGTAAACTGATGTTTATTGACTATAATGACTCCTTTTCCAGTCTTTGATTATTTAATTGTAATTAATTATTTGCATGCAATCAAAAACTATTTTTAATAACGCCAAAGAAGTATAACTTCTTACGCGCGTACATAAGTACACGCACCCTTTTTATATGTTATGCTAAACTTAGAATAAACATTCAAATATTCAAAGTTCTATCAACTTACATGTAACATCGAAACCACAATTCGACTCTACTGCTATGTTATATTCTTCTGATAGTACAGAGTTAAAATAACATCCGGTTGCACGAGTATACTTATCATTATGGCAATGACTGATACAGCCAAATAGAATAATTTGAACTTACCAACGACATAACTACAAGGAATAAATATATATGTTCAAATTATTATATTTACAATAGCTGATATATCAGATTGCATTTTAATATAATTTCATATTTGAAATCATTTGATCACCGCACTATGTAATTCATAAAAACATAGGTGTATTGTATTGAACATTATAGCTTTTAAACTGATACACTCTTGGAGTAAATAATTTTAAATGAATATTAATTATAACATTTCGATTAGAAGACTAGCTTCGCCACTTCCTCTGACCTTTTCCCTAGCCGTCAAACAAGCTTTCTGCTCTCACTTGTTAATTAAAGCTACGGTTTATGAATTGAACATAGAACTGTGTTATGCGCACGTCGTCGTACAAGCAGCCATCATTTGATGCATCTCTTCAAACCTCTCCACCTCGCTCTCATTCTGAAAAAAAAAAAAAAAAAAATAAAGGAAGGTCCTTAACGCTTATACTTTAGTGGTAATTTGAAGACTGGAAATAATTCTCTTTGGCTAGGATTTTGTTAAGATAAATACTAAAGTAAAATACGAAATATTATGATACGATTGATCGATGTATGACTTTTAAATGGTTGCTTACTAAGTTCATATGCTCACCTCTGAATCACTATCATAATCGTCATCATCAGAATAATCATCAGTAAAGAGCTGCTCCAGGCTAGTATTGCGAGCGAAGCGTCTTGCTGTGCGACCCGCGTAGTCTCTGACTCCCCGGTCCGCCGCTGTCTCAGTCAATAAGTACCGCAGTAGGGCCTCGTCTCGCCTCTGTGTTGCAATGTGAAGGGCAGTGCGACCGGCTAATCCCTCCTGTAGTAACAAGTGTTTGTTTGAAAAACTTCGTAATTAATACAGAAGTGTCGCCATTCATCAATCATGGCGTGATTTAAAAAAGGGCCATTTAGTTTAGAATTTCCTTACGAATCATCTGAGTGCATGCTAGCAAGAACTAATTCAAATTTTTACGTTTATATTCCATCAGTCGCTTAATTAATATAAGTTTAAGTACGCTTCATAAATTTTATTCTGTCAAATCATTCGTCATTCCAGATTTGAACGTGGTTTATGAGGTTATCTTATCTGTAGGCCAGAATATGGCCCCTAAACTAAGAAATATATCTAAATCTAGTAAAACTAAAATATATTTAAATAAATTAAATAAACAAAATATTAAAACAGATCTTAGAATATGTTTAATTTAAGTTTCACGCAAAATGAGGTCAGATGGTTTTAGCAGTGTGGTCCTTATACACGGAAACTATAACGTAATATAATTAGAAAATGCGTAGTTAAATTTACTATGTATAGCAACATAATAGTTGTAATAATTAAGACGTTTAGTTAATGAATAATTAAATTCCATACAGAAATAAAAGTTTAAAAAACTTAATCAATGCATAACGAATTGTTTAATCAATTAATAATAATCAATTGTATTTTAAAAGTTTACTAAAAATACTAATATTTCTATACTACAAGTTTAGTTTCAAGAAAACTGGTAATTATATATAGTATATGGTCTATTTTATTTGTTTTAGAAATATAAATTCTTTTAAGTTATGTATCAGACATTCTAAGACGCAATTGTATTATTTCGTAATGTATAAACATTAAAAGCAATCAGTGTCCTCATTAGTGCGCTGGTGAAAATTTGAACTACGTATAGCTCAGTAAAAACCCGCTATCGTCTTATCAGATATCACGACGGGTTTCCCAAAAGAAATACACAAAAACATCACGTAGTAACTTTTTAAGTAAATGAAGATTTAAAATAATAACAAGTAATTGCATTATAATTTGTATACAATTAGTAAAACTTTAATATTGATGCTTGGTGATACATAAATGACATGATATTGTGATTTATAATGATATAAAGGACACTCAACGAGAATCTTACGATTATAATCAGGTATGTAATTGTATAATTAATAAGTACTAAATGACCTATCAGATAAAATATATCTAACATCAAAGCGTAACTTGATAAGTAAGGGAAATTGTTTAAATATTTCAACCAAATTAGATAATTGCAATCTTTTCTCTTCGTAAGCGCCCATAAGCTGAGCTTTTGTACCACCTTTAAGCATATTTTATATTAATTTTAGTTTAAATTTGCGTTATTGCATTTCTGCTGATTGCCTATTTTTACCTATTTTTTACTACTATGCCAAAAATTGCTTGAATTACGCAATATAATTATTTACGCGTAACTTCGAGTGTTTATGATTGCAATATTTGAGTACCGCGTAATAAATGACGTGGCTAAAACGGGAATACATGACCCCTATATATATTTCGTATAACTGCTATTATTTGAAAATACGAGGTCGATTGTGTTTGGGCGTTAGGTGAATAAATTAATGAACGTAGCTTTCTTTGGAAGTGCGAATTCTACTAATCGTTACACTATTTTTTTTTAAACATTTTCCAGATAATTCCCCCACCTATGTAGTCGTCGGAGGCTTAAAAAGCTTAAATAAATGGTATTAGTAACCCGAATGTTTACTTTTTATTACTATATTACTATATCTACTACTACATATTTCTTTTGACAACCCCCTGCATGTAGGTCGTTACACTATTGAAATCATTATTGTTTTTATACAGGATAGATCAGATTCGTGTTAAATCTAACTACAACATTTCTAGTAACAAATCATTAACACTTAGGTTTGCAACAGCGGAAAACTTTGACTATTTTTTTTCTAAATGTGATTTAAACCAAAATTGTATTATATTTTTAAAAGTATAATAAATAAAATAATAATAAGAAGTTATTGTTTTGAAAAATGCATTAATAAAAATTACCCCATAGAACATTGATAATAATCGTTTTACTCGTAATTGATAAGATTTTCCTTAAAACAAATCATTGTACCCATAATATGGGTGAGTCCCATATATAACAGAACACAGATACAATAAAGATATACCAATAAAATGTTTACAATTAAATCGTTATTTAATAAGTAACCTACCTTAGCATTTATATTAGCTCCATAGGAGGCCAACGTCCTTATCTGGTCTATGTTGCCATTTGATGCTGCGAGATGAAGGCACGTCTGACCTGAAAAAATATAAACCACACTTTACATATTGTTTAACCAAAAATAGTAAGGGAATATGGATAGTATTAGATTAAATATTCATTGCGTAGAACATTTATGTATAATATTAATTTTAAGTATGTTTATGACATGTGCGTAAAGCAAATAGACACGAATACTTAGTGGTTTTCAAAGAATGAAAAAAGAATTACAAAATAACTAGATGCGAGATTACAACAGAAAATGCATCAATAATTTGTAGACTTAATGTTACAGATGTCTCAGTATCATTATATTTGTCTACGTTATTAGGGAGCGATAAAGTATTATATCACGCAATTTTTAGAGATTATTGACCCCCCCCACGTAACGCGCCATAAGGTCTGTACCCAATAGAAAACGTTTCGTGACCTCCCAGTGACTTTTATATATAAAAGTTACCATTATAAAGTACTGGAAAGTCGAAAATAATATTAACAATATAAAATCATCCCCGCCCCCATCGTAACGTTTTACAAAAGGAACACAACCCCCAATTCGTTACGTAATACTTGAACGCTCCCTAAGGAAATTCATTAATTCTTCTAACATACAACCTTCTCAAAATTCCCATTCAAATTCAAAGACAACAAGTAAGTATTAATTATTATATAATTATATTAACACGTTAAACGTGTTTTTTTGTTTATTGAATAAAACGTAAACAGCTCCGACAAAATATTTCAACTTTCGAAAAATAAATTATTTATATAAACGTATTTCAGGGGCAGAATTAGCTTAATTTTCTAAAAATGTATCCTCGCCGTCATCTCTGTGCCTAAAAAAGATGCTGGCCCCTGTCCAGTGTTATTTTCAACAAACATTTTCTGACCGAAATAACTGAGCTTAAATTTTAATATCTAGAACATTTATTACGGGAAGGGGTTTTATATTAGTATTTTAGCAGATGCCAAAACGAAGTAACAGCAGACACGGGGTTAGACGTTTACTATATGCCAGTATCGACGAATTATTGTAAGTTTACCTTGAAAATACGTCATACGACCAGTTATTTGTATTATGTGCATATTAAATATTCTACTATAACTTTAAATCTATATTTTAGGCAAATGCGACTTTACATTATATGTATAAAAACTTTGCAATTATATCGTATTCTCATGACATCAAGTTTATCAAGGTATGCCGTATGACTATTAGCTAAGTCAATGACAATAGACGAGTTTACAATCACAGCTGATAAGTTAATCTCCATCGATCTATGCAAAAAAGTTATATCATTATTCAAATACCGATCTAGATGTAGGTACATTGACTATTTTATGAAACTCTTGGCAATTGTCGTCATCTTAGATTTCGGCAGTGGTAATAAAATAAAACGCACAAATGGCGACCCATTTAGCTCTACATAAAAGGCCATTTATCTCTCGCACGATATAAAATAGTATTTCTGTTATCAGTAAATGCGGGTATTTAAAAATCCAGTAACAATTTTTTTTGCGCATTTGCGCTTTACTGTATGTATCAGTGAAGTTACGTCAAGGTGCTGGCAAGCAAAGAATTGCAATGTTACAGCTAAGCCAGCATTAATTATTATGCACGCAAACGTATGAAACCTATATATAATGAGGTGTAAATAAACAGCTGCGTAGAAGTAAATGGGCGCGAGCGGTCATGTGGACGCGGGTGTGAGGGGAGCGCGGCGCGGGGGGTACTCGGGTTTTCCGAATAATGTGGCAATCGGCGCGCGCGCTGTTGCCCTCACCATATACGGTCGATGATATTTTCACTGCTTCCGCGTCATATTTAACTCATAGATGTGAGACTATGATGATTCGAATAAGGTTGGACTAATTTATAAATGACGTATCATATTGTTATGCACCTACAACATAATATTAACAACATTTTAAAGTAGACTTAAGCTAGTTTAGAAAAAAACCTAAATACATATAATTAAAATCAATGACTACCATAAATAATATATGTAATTGTTAAATAACTCAAATATCTCAATTATATTTCAAATAAATGCATGACCATTAATGAAGCATGTGATGGGAAATTCCTTGATTGCTTCTTAACATAGTAGGTACACACACTTGAGTAATATTAATCATTAGGTACAATAAACTTTGAATTTCTCAAAGCAATTTATTATGTGGAAACCGGATTCATGTTGGTTTTCCAAAAAACCGGTGCGGTCATCGATTTATCTAAATGCCTTTGACCACGTGAGTAGGCAATGATTCAAGAAAGTATATTATTTATACGTAGTGTTTACCACCTTCACCTTACTGCAATACTCATGGGGAGCGTTCAAGTATTACGTAACGCAATTTTTGGAGATTATTGACCCCCCCTCCCCCATGAACTCGCCGTAACGTTTTTCAGTACCCAAGTACAGTACTGTATCCAAGTATAGTAAAACGTTTCGTGACCACCTAGTGACTCTTTAGTAACTATTATGTGGTGTAAGTAGAAAATAATATGAACAATAACGCGTAATTCAATCCCCGACCCGCATCGTTACGTTTTACAAAAGGAGCCCCTCCCAAAATTCGTTACGTAATACTTGAACGCTCCCATAGTTAACTTAATACATAAAAAAATCGTATCTAATTTACAACAAGGAATAAACTATAACGATACCTATACACAGGTGCATACAAAAGCTGCATCATTATCACAGATAAACATACTGGGATTTCCGAAGCCATTGAAATACTTTCACCTCGGAATTACCCAAAGAGTATCCGAGTCATTGTTGCACTTAAATCAAGCATTAGGCGGATGACTTGTCTTAAGACCATTTAAGTCCAGGTTGCGGTTTTCCTTACATAGTATACGAGAACCTTCTGTACTTTCCGACAACGGTTTTTTGAAGTCTTTATTTAGTTTATAATCGCCGCATGTGATTGATAGAGGTGGGTCACAGATCACTAATATTCGTCTATTATATTACAAGGGTTTAATGAATTTAAGATATTGTATATCCAATCGCGCGTTTAGAGTTAGCAGGACAACTCTGTCGACGCAATGATAACAAACAGACTTCCTATTATGCAACTGCCTAAACAAAGCAACGTATACGTTTTAACAAATAACAGGAAAACAAATCTACGTTTACTTTTAGTTGCATATAATTAGTGAGGCATAAGCTGCGTTCGCGCAAGGTGACACACATAATTGAATACACGTGTCAATGATCGCTTATTTATCGTTGAAATCATATAAGTTGGAAAAACCTCATCCGAAAGTCACGTAACATTGTACAAGCAACAATGTGGGATATCCCAAACAGCCACATTGGCGTCTGAGTTGGGGCTTTGTAAATGTTTGCAACGCTTTCTCCGCGAGCCGGTTCACATCGTTATGTGTTACGCGAACACTTTGGGAATACCCATCGTATAGCGCGTTTGCCAATTGCCTAAAGATACACCGTAATTATTTACTTTTGGTATCATTAGCACTTCTTGGGAATTCCAAAATGAATACGGTTAATTTGTTAAACTTCTTATTGAAAGAACAATAATTAAAACAATAATGTTACCTCTTATCGTTTATATTATTATGAAACGAGGTCACCACGATGGGAAAACCTATGTCAATAGCTGCTGAAAGTTTCAAGGCAAGGACGAAGCATTGTATAAAATAGGAAAACCCGTCTGTAGACATTTCCTACCCTACTTAAAATGTCAATTGAATATTTAAATAGCTGCTTTAATATAACATTCAATTAATTCGTTAAAAAATACATTTCAAGACCTTTAAAAGTAGCTTAGATCTGGCTCAATGAAACTGAGAGGTTTCGAAACAGGTTTCAAAAACTTAAACTTTCCCAGTGTTTTAGCATAATTATGTACCTATAGAAAAATATATATTTAATTAGTGTAAAAATTTGACTTTAAATATTGTGGCTAGCTGTTTGATTAAGGTAAATCTTGACTTTTCCACGCTTCAATACCTGATCAAAAACCATCAGTTGTATTTCCCGCGCGTGACTTGCCAAGGATACGGATTCCATTGAGTGTGCTCAAGACCTTGACGGTCATCTTTCTGAATACGTAAACAATGTTTACGATAACTGGTCGGCTACCTATTCAATACATCCTAGTGACATCTTTTTTATAATGACGTGCATTTGCGTGCCAGTGTCCTGCAATTTCTAAACAATGCCTGTGAAGGACGACAAGTTGATATCCGGCAGGTTAATATCCGTTATATTTTCTATTACCAATGTCATTACCACGATTCGGGTTTCAATAATTATTAAGTAGCGTCATGACGAGTATGTAAGTTTATTAGTTTAAATATTTTATTGTTGTGTTTTTGTTCAATCATCCAATTTATAAGGGAAACATATATATATACTTTTATATTAAATAAATGGTTTATTATTAATTAATTTAAGATGCTGTTATACCTCATACTTGAGATGAGGATGAAAACTTTGTATATTATTTATATTTAGTAGCCTATTATTAGAACATAAACTGTTGTGGTTAAATATAATATTCACTATTTCTTGACAAATTAATAACAGTCCTGGAGTAGAACTATTTAAATACAAATTGCTTTTGGTAAAGTCTTATTCAAGGAAATCCTTGGGTTTTACACCTTCAGGAATATTGCACAAATTCTGATTTTTCAGTACTGTCCATGATCATATTATCAACATGGTCTCATTAGTATTGTACTGTTTTTAGATATGTTGTAATGTAGTTGATTTTAAACTGCTTTATTTTTTTAAGTGTTAAAATAAATGGACATATTGGAAAATCCACACATGATTGGGTTTTAAATATGAATCACACTGAAAAGTTAAACATTGTGGTAATTCTTAAATGTGATGACAAGAAATATCATCATGTTATTAAATAAACTACCCTATCATTATTTTAAAATATGTTATATATCTTAATATATATAAATTACGCGTTACGTTGTTTGTCCGCCATGGACGCCTAAACTACTTAACCAATTTCTATCAAATTTGCACACCGTGTGCAGTTTGATCTACTTTAAATGAAAGGTTAGTAGTAGTTAGGTAGCTTACATCTTAATTTATACCCGCAATATTATTTCATTACAAATTATTTGTTTATTATTTGACAGTCACAATTCTAACAGATGGCGCTGTGTTTAAAGTACCAACGTTACACATAAGCTACAATTTAATGGCATAACCACCAAAATAGCATGGTGGTCCCCATGACTGGTGTTCTCCTTCCGTTTCCCTTGAATAGTTTACTACTATGTAAAATAACAAAAACCTTAGCCACAGCAACACTTGGCTGAGTCTGCTAGTTACATATAAATTATAAATATCCTCTCAAAGAATTAATACATAGTTGAATACTGATTACGTAATTTTTTTACTAAGATTACTTTAATTTACTTGTTGCTAGTTCTCTCTCACTCTGTGTGAGTGGGAGACAAGTAAAAAGTACAAAAATTAAAACTACTTACCATTGTAATTCTTCTGATCCAATACATTAAGATTTTCCCGAGGACTTCTTTTAAAATATTCAAGAAGATGTTTCAAGCTCATATTATATTTTTTGTTAACAGCTATATGAAGCGGTGTCTCTCCATTATAGTCTCTAACACTTAATGAAGCTCCTGCATCCACAAGCATTTTTGTAATATAAGGTTGTCCAGCAAGTACAGCAAGATGCAGTGCTGTGTGGCCATAACGATTAACAATATTAAGTAATTTTTTCTCAGGACATATCTTTATGAGGGTGGAAACTGATTTTTGACATCCATGGACTGCAGCAATGTGAAGTTGTCTGTAAAAGAAGCACTATTTAACAATACATTCTTTACATATTGCAATGTAAATAGCCTAAATATGTAATTTAAGTAAATGTAGCTTAGACTGCATATGCAACTAGATGTAATATTCGTCACTTTACATTTACTACATAGTTTTCTTTTCTTTTCTAAACTAAAAAATCCCCGGTTCGATACATAACCATTCACATTCATTCTTAAAAGTAACTTTCCCTTTCACAATACAGACTAATTATTTGACATATTAAGAAATTTGATCATGGAACTTACGTATCACCATCCTCATCTTGTTCAAACAATATGTTGATTGGAGGTAGGTCATATTTTTGAGCCTGAATTGAATTGTCACTTTTAACTTCTTCAATCACTATCAGTGGCTCTACAGGGACGTGTGAAGATGTTGTCTCTTGACAATCTATTTCACCTGACTTCAGTTCCATAGAAATAACCCCACTATCAAACTCTTCATGTTCACTTAACAAACCTTTACTACTCTTATTGTCTTTCCAGCTGTCGCCTTTATTCATTTCTTGTTTATCACTAGTTCGGTCTAGTGTATCGTTTGCTCCGTCATGTATTTCTTTTGATTCTTCGTCTGGATTGTATTCCTCCGTCAAGTTTTGTTCACTAAGAGGCCCCGAAAGGAAACCAGAGTCCGTATTTTCATCGTCGAAGAATTTTGTGTCAACAGCTTTCCTGGCACTCATCGTGATGTTGTATTAACGCTTCTCACTATAAATCACGTCTTAGTATATATTTTTAAAACTAAATTATGAAGAACACTCAACAATTTGCGGTTTTGCACATTTTAAAATAAAAAAATATTGTACTTTTAACGCATAACGACCACAAGTGGCAACATACAACAACTGACTGAACAGTGAAGTGTGAACTCTGAAGAGTGAAGTTAGAGTTACGTAGTAAATAGTAATTATGTATGTATCAGATGACAGATCTATGCTATATGTACTGAACTCGACAGTCAGCACTCAGCAGTCAGCACTCAGCGTACAGCTAATAATACAAGTATAAGTCAGTCAGTCGCGCACGGCACAGATTACTCGTTGTTACAACTATATTATAGTCGGATACAAAAAGTTTGAAAGCCAACATTCACAGACTAGGAATTATCTAGGTGTCAAAAAACAAGAACATGCCAAAAGTTTAGATATTATTTTGTAGATTAAGAAATATTTGTAATTCTGATTTAAAAAAAATACATATTATATCGTATATCCTATATACGCATTAGGATGGCGCTAGAAAATAAAGTTCCCATAAAATCAACATTATGCCAACGTTGAGTTCTCGCTTGAGATTCGATATATTTTTACATAAATTTGGCACATGATACTTAACAGTGACAAATATTATAAATAAAAATATGTCTTGTATTTAATGAATGTGTAATTATATAATATATAATAATAATAATTGTAATTACACCTAACAATGCAATGATGTGTTGTGATACGTTAAATGCCAACTGCCAATACATGCTTAAAACTTAGGGATGTTCGATGTTAGAAAAACATCGATATTGACATCGATGTCATAATCGAAAGCCCAACATCGATCTTCGATATTTATCGAAAACTGAACTTTTGCATTAATAATTGACAAAGAAATAAAATACAGTGAAATGGTTCGAAATTTACCAATAAACAACAAATTATTACATATTCCGATATTTTTATCAACTGACTGAATGAAAAGTAAGATTGATAAAGAAGAACCTTATAATATATTTCTTTGTTGATAAAGAGTAGCGAGGAAGTGTGAGAGAGAAAGAGCGAGTGAAACAACGAAGAACGAACGAAGGGAATGACCTAGGCGCAAAGAATGAATACGCATTCAAAATTTTAATAGACCTGATTTGTGGATGCGTCAATAGGAGACATAATTTGTTTCGTAAGTTCAAAGTTGCATTGGTCGTGCGAGAGGCCGTGAGTTAACATCGATGTTCGATTCGGTTAACATCGATGTTACGATATTTTTCGTATAGCAACATCAATGTCAAGACATCGATGTTTTTTTTTGATCGAGCATCCCTGGTCCCTACTAAAACTACTGTTTACTGTTAATATGCTGTTAACTGTTTAGTGTTTACCAAATATCTTGTTTAAGTTATAAAACATTACAAAAACATCTATACAATAACCGCTATTAGTTATTTACTAGTAGTATTTAGGTTTTTAAAATAATTCCGATGAGTTTAAAGTAGGTATCCTCTCCCTACCACCAATACGACAAGTAAAGAAAACCGATTCAAAGGCTAAAAACCAAACTGACTCGGCATGTTCGGTGAAAAAGTAATTGAATTATTAAAAGAATCTGAGAGAAACCGGGAAACACTGAGTCCTTTCAATGTAAGCAGTTTTCTTACATTTATATTTGTTTTGTATTTTATTTCTAAGACCTCATTTGTTAATTTTTGTTGCAGGATGAAATGATTCGTCAAATAATTGAAGAAATGCACATTTTGTTTAAATTGAACATGAATGATGCGTAAGTAATACTTTATATATAATCATATGTTGATGATCCTTTACAGATGTAAGATGAAGTTGTGGACATAGCAATTTACATGCTAAGTCTTTTGCATCCTAAGAGTCTTATCTAACATAATTCATGCATTCATATATATTTTGTAATTTCAGAAATGCAACCTCAGAGAATAAGTCATTGTGGACAACTGTTCAGGTTCGTCATTCAGCACTAGAGCGCAATAAAAGGTGCCTATTAGCTTACCTGTATGATCGCATTAATAAAATCAAAACTCTGAGATGGGAGTTTGGCTCAGTCCTACCTCCAGATATAAGAGAATTATTATCTGACAGTGAATATGATTGGTTTTCTAAATATTCAACCAATTTAGCAACATTTATGAGGTCTTTGGGCCAAGATATTGGTTATAGTGGTATTGATCTAACAGAGAATTTGAGACCTCCTAAATCATTGTATATTGAAGTGCTGTGTATAACAGATTATGGAAAATTAGAATTGGAAGATGGTGATGTTGTTATGTTGAAGAAAAATAGTAGACACTTCCTGCCTACATCTGAGTGTCAAACACTTATACGACAGGGTATTTTAAAACAAATTACATAGTTATAGGCATTAGTGGTTTTCTAATAAAAGTAGTTTAATAAATTTGTTTGGTATACATACATTATTGAGTTTATTAAAACCAACAAAAAATCTATGGCTAGTTAGGTAATTGTGTATGCAGATAGATTAATGACATCAACTAACAACATTTAGACTGTTTTATTGCAATGTGAGTGTAATTACATATAATTATACAGCATGGCAGTTAATAAATAAATGCATGAAGACCCCTAACCCTGAGAGTAGTCACTTGTTTTTGGTTTAACTGATAATGTTTCTTAATAAAAGTAGAACCTCGTTAAGTCGAACCTCGATAAGTCAAAAACCTCCAAATCTCGAAAAAATGTTTTGTTCCCTTCCCTTAAAACACCAAAACCTCCATTACTTGAAATCTTGACCCTCTGTTAATCGAAATAATCACAGAGTCCCTCCAGCCATTTTGGTACATATTTTCACTCTATAACTCGAAAAATTAAATTTGACCTCTGTATCTCGAACATAGGAACGTTTTATTTTACAACCTTTACAACTTGATCATTTGGAATTTATTATCTCTATTGTTCGAACAAAAATAAGTTACCGACTTTAAGAACTTGCCGCCAATGTGAGTACACTATTGTTTCTTAGAAAACATTTTAGGAGTATACAATAATAAATTTATGACTCATGGAAACACGTGTTTGCTTGCTTTGTGTCAGGTGTTCAATTTTGATTCCCCTTGGAAATTTAGCTAAGCCAGTCATTTGTTTTCGACTTAAATACTGTCAGAAGTAGTTTGGTTCTACTGCAATACACATCAATTAGTACAACAGTTAACATGAGTGCTGTGTAACGTAAACTAAAAACTTTGAGTCTTGCTGAAAAATTAGAAGTGCTGGAAGCTGTGAAGAGCTGTCAAAAAAAGAAAGATGTTGCTGAACAATTTGGCCTGCCAATGAGTACTCTTTCAACAATAAGAAATAATAAAACTCTTTATGTCGAATCAAAATCCGCCTAAGTCGAAATCCTCCATAAGTTGAAAACTCTATAACTAGAATTTTTTGGCGTCTCCCTTGATGTTCGACTTATAGAGGTTCTACTGTAAAAAATAACCAGTGAGAGAAGATTCTAGAATCACCAACTTAATACAATATTGCTTTGAGTTTAAACTCTGTTGTCATCATTGAAGAAAATCTTAAATTGCTGTTCAATATGTTTTAAGTAAAAATACATTCTTGTGACAAATTGTGGTTATCATAAAAAGAACAAGTATATACATATCTCTATATAAAGTCAATATAAATATCTATATACTTGTGCATTTCGTAAAACCATATCTTCTGTTACTTATTCTATTATCATTTTCCTTGTGACAGATTCGTAAAAAGTATTGGCGCGTTTACTTTGGCGCCCTTCCAGCGGGAATAACAGATTTTTGTTTGACGCAGCGTTTTCTCTGTTGCCAGGCTTTCTAAATAAATAGTGCGGGATGTCGGAAATCGAATTGTGATTAGATGAGAAAGCTATTTCGGAATTTAGCTTCTAGATTTATTATATACTTTAGCTTGTGGCCTTATACTTTAAATTTATGGTGGCAACATGTTACTCAGGACATCGAACATCACGACAGGTAGATTAACAAATATTTTAGTTATATTCTCAAAGAAGCATAGGGCAGTGAAGGACCTCTAGCTTCCGATTTGATTTATTGTGTAATTATGAGATCATGTCTTTTAACTCTTGAACGACTTTTGAGTACGGATGTGAAGCGTCATCTACTAGAGTAGATGATAAATATAACGAAACGTTTGATTTCTAGTTTGATAGTTATGAAAAAAACCTATTTCTATTTTTTATGTTTCTTCTAAATACACACATGTGTTAATCAAAACAAAATAATAATATTAAAATTAAACAAGCAATGGCAAGATCAGCGTGAATGGCGGACCATTTCTCTATTTTCACGGTTTATATTTCATTTGGGATCCTGTCGCTGAGCGTTTTCGTTGATTTATGAGGGCCAGTTACATTATATCAGAAGTGCCCTTTATTGCAAATCGATATATTTGCTCACTTTACCCACTTCAAAACGTAACGTATGTACGAGCATTAGAAAGTTATTAATGACATTATATTGATATTGGCCCATTTGTTTTATTTACTATTTCTTTTTTCTTTACAAAAACAGCAAATTGTCTACAAAACTACGAAATCATAGGAGGTTGCACCCACACAAACATTTGTTAATGACTAATTTCTTAGTATACGTAGTCGGTCCCAAAGTTCTGTCATAAATGGAAATAATGATAAAAACAAAAGTACTGATCAGTTTGTAATGAGTGATATATCAATTCTTAGTACATTAATTAAGGAATAAAAAAAGCATAAAAATATTCGAAATAACCTCCCTCATTTTTAATACAGGCCCTTGCGTCGCGGCCAGTCGTCTATCGCAGCACGCACCTTTCGTGTGATTTCAGTCACTGTTTTTTAAAGATGACTTAGATTCTCCAAATTTTCATGAGGTTTACAAGACCTTCCTCTCTAGCCTGTCATAATTTCTGATCCAAAGGATTAAGTCCGACTGAGGAAGGCCAATCCTCATCTAATTAAGACGATTTTTGACGCTCAAACCAGGTTTAGTGGCTTGGTTTGTATGAGAGAGAGTCCTGTGGAACACGAAGTGATGTCCCGCAAATAGGATGCTGGAATGTCTTTGACAGGCGAACAAAACCGTTTGGTACATGTAGACTGGTTTTGACCCCCTTTTCGAAAAAAATTAACTCAGTAGCCGTAATAGGACACTCCCAACCAAACCATTACTGATGATGGATGATGTCCATGTTGCACCCTTGGAACTTTATTTTCAGCTTCTTCGAACTCCTAGGACACTGTATAATTCTGTTTTGTACTTCTCTTCAAATCGAAAAATTTTTCTCCGTAAAGAGGATATCACGGTGTCGTCAGGTGCAGAAGAAAAAGACGCAGATCGTACACCAACTACTAAAAAATCGTATTCCAAGGAAATTTTGAAATGAAAAAAATCGTACAACATAAAAGTGGAAAGTTTTTATTTAAAATGAGTGGCTACCTTTGCCTTGAAGAGTGTAACTTTATAACTCCATATTCTGAGACCATTTCGACGACACAAACAGTGCACCTGGCTTTAAATTGTTTTTTACCGGGCCCTAACCAGTCCTTAAATAAATCTAATTTTCCCAATCGGACGAACTCTGTGCTCTGTTTTGTTACTCTCTGAGAAGGCTCTCCTCTTTTGGCTAATTTCTTTTTGGATACTGGAGGTCACTTTCTTATTCACTACCCATTCTTGCTTAAGCGTATTGAAGTAACACAAAAACACTAAAGACAATATGCAAATCAAAAATGATAATATAATCTATGTAGTATATAAACTTACAGCTCGAGACTGATGAGAAAAACAGGTTTTTGACTAATCCAATACAAGTCTTTACAAGAGAAAAATAATAAGTTTTGTAACAATGCACACAAATACAGACTTTATACGAAAAAGGGGGGTCTTTAGGCGTAAAGGGTCTTCAATCTTCATTCAAGTAAAAGATTAGGCATGCTTGTTTGGGGATTTCCCCGACATAAACAGTGGAGACATTTTTCATTATGAAATTTGCCAGGTACGAACATTTTCTGTACGATTTGTCTAGCGACGTAATAGTAAAAATGCCAAAAAATCGTAGAAGTACGATAAATGTAATCTGGCAGCCCTGGTGTCGGTTTTTCGCGTACCGCTTAAACAACACCCGCGATCTCTTAAGCCTTATGCTTTTAACGAGATAAGTAGGCCCACTTTTTTGTATCTAACCAAGATCTTCATTAAAACCTTTTTACTGTTTTCCTACTGACACCCATCTGCAAATCCATCAACTTCTTTTCGGACAGGATTTCTACATCCGCCTTGATAGTTGACCTGTTTCTTGGGGGTGGCCAGCCAGTTTTTCAACTGAGACTTAAGGTACTATCAAAGTACCGTACACAAACCTAGCGTTATATTCAAATTTTGAGCAACTTGAAAATGGTATCGGGAGTGTCAAGCGGTGCAACGCAATAACAACTATTCGGTTTACTTTCAATGTCCACTCCATGTGAAAAATTAGGAAAGTTATTTTTTTTTTAAAACAATAATCAAACATTCCAAAATAGAATCAATAATTTTTTATAAAATCCTGCTCGAAAATATGTAGAAAAAGGCTAGTGACAGAACTTTGGGACCAACTAGTATACATATATATTTTTTTATTTTTTTATGATTGCACATACACTATAAAAAGCTGTTCGATCTTAAAGAATATCCTTGTAGCTCTGGTATTTAGATAGACTTACAGGCTACCAACATTCACACGCATCGGCTACTCTCTTTCAGCAAGTCCATACTAACGACCCGCTGATCACAATACACGGGATACAGTCTACAGACCTAAGAGGTTTTTTATTGACAGTATATCGAATAAGCTGTTTGTATATGTTTTAGGTGGGCTGTGAATTTGTGAACATAATGTCCACAAAATATTTTCCACGTAGGTCGAAGTATATAAAATGAATACTTTGTTTATAATACAGTTTATGTAACATACTTTCAAGCATAATAAAACTATATATCACCAAAAACCAACCGAAACCTACAACCGAAGGCTGCAACCATTTCGATGACGTCAAACCCTAAAACGCGCTAATAGTTATAACTTTGACGGCTCATTGGTCTAGTGGTTAGTACCCCTGACTGTAGGGTTCGATCCCCGGCTGAGACAAACATCGATGTGATGAGCATTTGGTGTTGTGCTTAGGTCTTGGGTGTTTAAATATGTATTTATATGTATATCTATCTATAATATGTATGTATATTCGTTGCCTAGTACCCATAACACAAACTTCACCGGCTTAATATGGGACTAGGTCAATTGGTGTGAATTGTCTAAAAAAAAAAAATTTTTTTTAATGTAAATCATACCTTAGTGTTCATTTATGGTAGTATGGTATCGGTAAACTTT